GAACAAGCCTGCTTCCAGCTCTCAACTTGCTGCTTCTAGGAGCGTCCCATGCCGTGCACCACCCTCAGGCAGCTGCCCAACGGCCATGTTCCTGCCCCCTTCACTTGCTGTGGAACACAGACTCGTGACTGGGCTGCCTTTCATAGCGCTGTGCACACATCTCCCATTGGCCTGTGCTGCTGCAGGCAGCTTCTTAGGAAGGCTTCAGGAACCAAGCTCTGCTCTGAACACTGTCAAATGCAGCGCAAAATTATGCAGAGGCTGCATTAGAAATATATAGATTACTAATGTATATATTAGAATAGTAATATATCACTAGCTATGCATATTCCTTATATATATATCTAAGGCCAGAAGAGGAATGCGGAAGGGGCCACAGAGGCCCAAGGCCTTGACAACACAGGACATAAAAACGTGAAAAGGGGGCCAGGAAGGCACAAGAGCCCGAGCAGCAACCCAAGAGCCGGGATCAGATGGAAGCATTCCACATTCCTTTTGCCATTCTGGGCGATACTCGAGGTAAAGAACAAATGTGCAGCTGGGACTTGGTCCCATTTATCTTCTAACCTACAAAATAACATCAGTTGAAATACAGTATTATATCTTAAGCTTTCTTTCTTGAGAGACTTCTCCTGATCTTCCAAAGTACTCATTGGCCACCAATGATTACTATATTCCACAAGCTGGCTTTGTGTAAGAGCATCTCCCTCTACTTTTTCCCTGTGTTTAAGCGTACAGCCCAGAGGAGATCTTTTTGAGATCCCTCCTTCTGAGGAAAAACTATTATCCCTTTTGTGGACACGGTATAGGTCTCCCTCTACCCTTTTCTTATAGCAATTACCAACTGAAATGTTCAGACAAGAAAACCCAATTTGAGAACACCCGACGCTATTCCACACTTCAACACGTCCCACTCAACCAATCGCTGAATATGAGATCCAGAGGACAACACCCGATATTCAGCAGCAGTTATCCAGCAGCATTGGTCTGACCTCAACACCTGGTAACAGGGCTTTTCTTCCACATTTGGCTGACAGGACAGATGTTCCTTTCTTTTGTAGCTTGTAACAGATAACTCCTGATTCGAGGCTCCGCCCTACTCCTTTTAAGGGTCCATTTACATTCCCCTCCTGCCACTCTGGCATTTGGGATCAGCAATGTTCGGGGTCCAGAGACATTCCTACAAGGAAACATTGTCCCAAGGCAGTGTAATGGGTTTGAGCCTGTGTGTGCTACAGCCACTCTAGCAGGATGGCATTCCCTCCAGGGCAAACCAGGATATCAAAATAAACTGCTGCTTCTGTAACACAAGTACTTCCTAGGAGAGAACACAGCACCTAGAGCAAGTTGAAAGAAAGAAGAAAGAAAAAAGAAATATAAAGATAAAAGGCACTTAGCGGGCAGAATGGAATTGGTAGCTCCCCAGGGCAGTCCTAGCTCTGTATTTCTGGGTGGAGGACATGCACGAGGAGACCAGAGAGGTGCTGACAAGGCCAGAGAACCAACACAGGTCTCTGGGGCAGACCTAAGGCATCAGGAAGGGGTTCGGAAGAGACTAGCAGCTCCTACCAAGACTAACGGGCCCAAACGGACCCAAACGGAGCTGGAGCACAAAAGGAAGCACTCAAAGAATGCTCCAGAGTAAAACAAGGGCAGTCCTGAGGTTCTGCAGGACCAAGAGGACTCGACAGTACAACAAGATTCTCCAGGGGAATCTAGTGCAGATTAAACACATCTTCTGGAGAGCAAAGAGCAGCTAAGAGAAGCCCGAGAGCAATGACCAAGCCCTGCTGGGACAAGGAGCAGCCCGGCCCTGACGGGTGCCACGGCCTTCCCTTCCCTTCCCTTCCCTTCCCTTCCCTTCCCTTCCTTTCTCTTCCCTTTCCTTCCCCCTACCCTCCCCTCCTCTCCCCTGTCCTCCCCAGGGGGAAGGCAAATCCGGGAGCTTCTGCAGATCTGACTCAGCCCTGCAGGGGCCCTGGCTGCATGATGTGGACCACCCCCAAGAGCCCCAGGATCACGATGATGATGAGGATGATGATGAGGAGGAGGAGGAAGAGGAGGAAAAGGAGGATGATGATGAAGATGATGAGGAGCAGGAGGAGGAGGAAGGTGAGGATGAGCAGGATCATGATGAGGAGGAGGAGGATGATGATGAGGAGGAGGAGGAGGAGGGACTATGGACTGGGATATTGTGGTAATAGACCTGAAGGACTGTTTCTTTACCATTCCATTAGCACCCCAGGACAGGGAAAAACTGCAACCGTTCTGAGCCAGTCAGAAGATATCAGTGGAAGGTGTTACCTCAAGGAATGAAAAATTGGCCAACAATTTGCCAATGGTTTGTTGCTCAAGCCTTATCTCCTGTTCGAGAGCAATTCCCAGACTGTTATTGTTACCATTACATGGATGACATTTTGCTTGCAGCCCAGAAAAGGGAGCAGCTGAACGATCTAGAAAAGGTAGCTAGACAATCCTTACAACATTTTGGCTTGGTTATAGCACCAGAGAAGGTGCAAAGAACTGAGCCTTGGAAATATTTAGGGCTTACAGTCACTGCTCAGCGAGTGACGTCACAACCCATTAAACTTAGTGCTAATGTTCAAATGCTTACCGATGTCCAAAAATTGATGGGGTCGCTGAATTGGATTAGACCCTATCT